TGCAATACTCACAAAGGAAGATGTCACCTAGCACTCGTTTCCCAGAATGTATGCCTGTTGTTAAGCAACACATGATCGCAGGTGATGCAGACAATGGCATTGTTGCCTGTTGAAACCCTTGGTCAGGGGATGGAATGCAGCTCAGTGGTGGAGTGCATGCCTGGCAGGTGTGAAAGCCTCATTCCAGCCCAGAATTGCAAAAAAGAAAAAATATATATATACGGTTAAAGAATATTGGAAAATAAGATATTCACATACTCTTAAAGATTACTTATGTTAATATCATTTAACTTTATTATTATACAAAGGGAAAGTGTGTGTTATGGAACCAGGCCATGCAATATTATGCCTATCACCGAAACAATAGGTTTTGCAAAAGAAAAAGTTCATTCATGAGATGCCAGACTCGAGGAGACAAGAGACCCAAGTATCAAAATCTGCTTTTCCAAGAATAGGGCCTTTGGAGTATTTATGGAATAAAGAGATAGTGGTCAGAGGTGTGGGGAACAGTGGGTGAGGGGTGTAAAGAAAAGTGCAGTCATCAGTGGTCTGAGCACAAGTCGTCAAACGTCATGGTTCTTAATAGGACACATGCTCAGAAAATGGGCATGTTGGCACACCATGAGGGTAGACTTTTGACTCTCTGGCGTCAGAAGGTTACGCATCTGATACTTACACAGGTCCCAGTGAAGGGTCAGTGGTTTCAACGAGTTTAAGCTACCCAATTCCTGAAAACAACATAGGCAGCCATTACCATGTGACCCACGTGTCAGAGGCGTTATCTACAATGAAGCTGACCAAGAGAGTGCAGTATGCTGCTTTTAGCTACCTGAGCTCTGAAATTATTGATGAAAACAAGCAACTAAAAGCAAGTGAAGCTAGAGGGTTCATTCAGTTTCTTCCTTAGTTTCCTGTGTGTTTCCAATGGGAGATCTGGTAAATATCATCTAACCAATTGACCAAATTTAGCATCACCAATCATAAGACAATGTGGCGTGTGCCTTCCAGAGTGATGCAATAGAAATACACAACCGCATTGGGGGATATTGTTGCCCAGGATATTGTAACCTGAATCAAATAATAGGAAGCACTCAGACAAATCTACGAAGACTTCTCCAAAACAACCTCTAATTTTCAAAAAGTTTACTGTTGAGCCTGTTATGATGGTGCAGGCCTGAAAGTCTGCCTGTACAATTTAGCCAGACTCTGTCTCAAAATAAAAAATTAAAAGGGCTGGGGATTTGGCTTAGTAGTAGAGCCTTGCCTAGCTTGTGTGAGCTGTAGATTCCATCCTAATACCAAAAAAAAAAAAAAAAAAAATTCTGTTATAAAAGATAAAAAGTAAAAATAGTTGAGAAGAATGTCGTGAATTCTGGATGAACATTCTAGAGTCAATGTTGTAGAATCTAGATTAAAAGAAACTAGAAACATAACAATTACATGCATTGTGTAGTTCTTGACTGGATTCCATTTTCCAAATTCAGTACAGTTTGAGTGAAAAAAAAGCTGTGGAACAATTCAAGTGTCCATCAACTGATGTACCTACATTGTGACAGATTCATACAATGAAATATTAACCAGTCAGAAATAGGAATGAAGTATAGATGCAAGAGTGAATCTTGAAAACAACGTGCTAAGGGAAAGAAGCCAGACAGAAAAACAACACCTATTGTACAATTCCACTTCTAGGAAATGTCCAGAATAAGTAAATCCACAGCAACAGAAAGTAGATCAGTGTTGCCAAGAGCAGAGGAGAGAGGAGATGGGTGTGACTGTTAATGGGTATAGGATTTCTTTCTGCAATTATGAAAATATTTTGAAATCAGTGATGACGATTATATATGTGGTGAATATATTAGAAACCTGAATTGTACACTTAAATAGGGCAAATTTTATGATATGTGAATTATATGTAAAATTTAAAAAATTATAAAAGATATCAATCCATTGGGGAAATTTGAATGAAGTATCCATCAGCCACTATTTTTTCACTGTTAAATTTCTTGGATGTGATAGTGGTGTTGTGGAAATATTGAGAGATTATTTAAGGATGAAGTACTTAGGGATGATATTTGCACTTTTCTTTCAAATGGATCAGAAAGTAAAGTATTGGGAGAAAGCAAATGTTGCAATATTTTAATCATCGATGTTCTAGGTGAAAGATATACAAGGATTCATAGTATTATTTTAATTTTTTTTTTGTAGCTTGAGCTATTCCAAAATAAAAATACTAGGAAGGGAGCTCACTTATTGAGCATCTATAATATACTTGATAGACAATGATAAATTCTGGTGGATTGTGACAAGAAAATTAGGTATTCCAAGGCATTACCCTGTCTCCTGAGTGAATCCTCTGTGAAGAGTGAGTTGTTTGCTTCCCTTCAAAACTTCCCTTAGGCCCACCAGCATCAGAGGGGGAGAGGCAGGCTGCTTGTCTTCCAGGAAAGTCATTCTGGGCTTGTGCTTGCTTCTGAACATGCTGTCTGATGTCATAGTGTTGCTGAAAGCTTAGTTCTTGTCCCTGATGCCAATCCAATAATGAGGACACGGTTTTGAAAAAAAAGGAAAAAGAAGGTTTATTGCTTTGCTAGCAAAGGAGAAACACAGGGGACTCCTGTCCCAGAGGCTGTGATTCTGCCCATCAGCAGGAACAGAGGGATTTTAAAGAGGTGATTCAAAGGCTACATTCCACGCGTTCTCTGTTGGAGTTGGAATCCACTTGTTAATTTGGGAGATGGTCATTTCTGAGATCTTCTGGTGCCACCCCCAAAGTCTGGATTCCTTCCTTCCAATGGTGGGTGTGTATTCAAGTATAGATAAATCTGCCAAGGAGGGGGAAGAAAGGTAATGCTATTTCCCCTGAAATTAGTGATGGGGAGAGATTAAGAAGGAGCTGTGAGAGAGGAAAAGAAAGAAACATGTCCATTTAAAAAAAAAAATCCGTTGCAGTGGCAGAGCAGCAAGGGCTACATTCAAAGTATAAAGTGGACCACTGTTACAATAACATTCACAGGGAGCTCTTAAAATCTTCCAGAGAGGTTCTGGGGGTGTAGCTCAGTGTTAGAGCACTAGCCTAGCACTTGTGATGCCCTGGGTTTAATCCCCAGCACTGGGGAAAAAAAAAAATCAATCAATGAATACAATCTCTCAGAGAGTTAGTGCTAACTTCATTAATAAAATTGAAGGGTAATGAGATGCAAGTTGGTTGAGGCTGAAGCGGGAGGGGCATGGGTGCCTTCAGTGGGGAAGGCAGATGGTCAAGGCTTAAAACTCAGAGCACAGCCCATGAATTTCCGGTAAAAAAACAGGAAATGAGGTGAGGGTGTGCCCTAATCCCATTGCAGGCTCTGAACAGGCAAATGAGTTCATGGCAACTTCTTTGTTTAGCTTCCAGCTGCTATTGGCTAGTGGTTAGAGGAGCATAATCTCCCCTATTGCCCACCTACTCACATTACCCCATGTAACCAAGGAATCATCATCCTCTGCCTGGCCCCTTTTTCTTTTTTGTCTCTGTGCCATTATTTTCCCTCAAGGATGCTTGGAGAGAACCTTACAGGGCTGAACTAACTAGTGTTTACTTTTGGACTGAGATTCGGGGTCTCAGTTTGGAGCAGGGCTGCGGGTGTGGAAATGGCCAAGCAGCAGCCACAACATAAGGAAGGTTTTGTGAGGCCAACTGGGGAGGGCGGGGAAGATTGGATTTCTGGTTCACCCCTGACCACTGGTGCCTTCTGTTTTTAAAACAGACGTGCTTCATCCTTCCCAGAGCAGGGGCCAAAGATGGGAACTTGAAATGCAAAGTCCCAACTGGAGAAATTGGGCTGCAAGAGCTCAACGCCTGAAAAATATTGACTGTTTCTTTTTTTAAGCTAATATTCCAAATTTCTTATGAAAGTCAACTTAGACATCCAGGACACAGGAAACAAGGCAAGAGGCCATAGCCAACTGCCTCAGAGGACCCGGGACACTTTCTTAATAACATCCAGATGGTTCCACAGAAATTGTTAACATCTTGGAAAAAAAAAAAAAAATCAGCTGCTGGAGAAATGAGATTCAAGTGGTTTAGGAAGGACAGCCTGGAGGAGAGTCCCCGGAGACAGAGAGTGGGCCTGAAATATAAGCCGATGTGGTGGGATTACGGCTTCCTATGGCAAGGCTGGTGGGCTGTGGGGAGTGGGGAGCGATCCAGAGCTTCTGTCAGAGCCTCCAGGCTGGCAGGGACACCTCCGCAGAACTGCCTTCTGGGCGTGTTAATCCATTCACTAGCCTGGATTTGCAATGACTTTTTATTCTTATATTTTATATTTATTATTGTTGCTTTTGTTTTAGAAAGGACTATTTACCTCTCAATTTACTGTCTGCATTTAGGTTCTGTAGATTCAGAGCTCAAGGTCAATAGATTTTAAGGGTTTACGGCAATATTTAACCCTGAAAATATTTACATATATAGATTTTTATAATCATATATATATATATATAACATGCATAATTCCATACAACAAAATATAAATGTATTTTCTAATATATGAAAACCCACAAAATTTAAATTAGTGAATACTAATTAGATGCCACAGTAGATGACATCATGCCAACTCTATCAGTTGCTAGGTTCAGGGTTCACTGAAAGCTCTGTTGCTAGTATGCCTGAGGCCTTGGGTTCAATTCCTAGTACCACACACACAAAAAAGACTCCAATGCGTTTGAAAACAATGTGTAGGTTAGATTTTCCTCACTTCCCAAGAATTATTTAGACATCAGTTCCTCGGAGCCAAATAAATTTGGAAGGAAAATTTAAAAATCCTTCCCAGCTAGGTACAAAGCTCAGTGGTAGAGCATGTGCAGGGCCCCAGGTTTCATGGGCCCAGGTTTCATCCCCAGCACCATAGAAATAAAACAAACCTACAAACAAAATAAAAACCTATCCATAATTTTGCTGGGGAAAGAAGCATGTATCTTTAACATTCGATGTGAGAGCTTCACAAGGTGTTTACATCAAGCAGGGAGGAGTGGAGCCCCAGATGAAGAGGCTGAGGGTCTAGGAGGCCTGACCGCAGTTCTGCTTTTCTGAAGAGGTATGTGTTTCTCCCTCTGTTCCCAGTTGCCTTCCCACAGGAAAAGGAAATGACTTGCTTGTGGAATGTAACTGCTTACACGCAAATCACTTGCTTGGAACTAAAAATGGGGGAGAGGGAAGCAATAGCTAGAGACTCGGGGTTTGATCATCCTTCAGCAAACCTTAGAATTGATCATCTCCCATAACCTGCCTCTCACCCAGGCCTCTTCCAAACCCAAGAGGCATCTCCTGTCTGCCCCCAGCAGAGGAGTATTTCTCTCTTTTTGTCTGACTGTGACAGCAGGATGTTAGACCCGGTGAGGGCACATTGGTGGCCTTCCTTGCCATTCTCACATTCTAAATCAGGAAGCATGCAGGAGTGGGGAATGAGCAGCAAGAATGTACACATCCCGGAACTCTCAGGCTGAAACGCCTGGGGTATTTAGTCCAAAAAAATCTGTGTATGGTGGGGGGCAGGGGTGGGAAGCAAGCAAGCTAGTACAGGAACCAGAATTTTCTCCAATAAGCAACACTACTGAAAGAAGACCAGAGAATCTGCCAGAACTGGTTATGGAGCATTAACCAGGTAAACTCATTAGATGGATCCATCTCTTCCTTTGGGAGAATATTGACATTTAAGCTTTGGCTTCTTGGGATTCCGCTGGAGGACTCTTCAGTGGAATGCAATGACTCCTTCCTTCCTCCCCAAACTGAAATCCGGGCTATTACAATTCCAAATGGACACGGAGTCCTGCCAAGTTTATAGGAAATTGGAATGACAGTGTGGGTTCCCACCACAAGGGATAGCAAAAGCTGAATGCTCAGAGAACAAGCATCATTTCCCCCGTGGTTCCCAAACACGTCTATTTTTATTTGAAGGGGTTCTGTGTTTTCATTCAGTTTTAAGAACAGAGGAATCCATATGGAATCTTCACCAACTCTACTAAAATAAAAGCATGCCACTTCTCAGCAGCGTGCCGAAATAGCCACAAAGATTCAAGGGTAGGTCGGAAAGAACTGCAGACACTCACTTTTGAAGACCTGTGAGAAGTCATCAACTAATTTCTAATGGGTACCGTTTAGGCACATGGCAGAGGACAATATCAACTGCTAACCCCATGCTACAGATCTTATCTTTGACAAAGTATAGTTTATCGTTTTATAGAAGTTATAAAGTAGCTGCTCTAAAACAAGCAGTTTATATTAATTTAAGATATAGGAAATATAAATGTATTTTATTTAAAGTGCAGGATTTTTCAGGTGGGGTCGGTTGGGGAAGAAGACTCATAGGTCTCCCCTACATAAAACAGTTACTTTTCTTTTTCTTTTCTTTTGGTACTGGGGATTGAATCCAGGAGTGCTTTACCCCAGCCTTTTATTTTATTTTATTGGAAATAGGGTCTCCCTGAGTTGCTTAGGGCCTTGCTTTTGCTGAGGCTGGCTTTAAATCGATCCTCCTGCCTCAGCCTCCCAAGCCGCTGGGATTACAGGTACATTATTTTTTAAATTTTTTTCTTTTAATTTTTTTTTTTTAGTTGTCAATAGACCTTTTTAAAATTTATTTATATGCAGTTCTAAGAATCGAACCCAGGGCCTCACACGTGATAGGCAAGCACTCTACCACTGAGCCATAACCCGAGCCCATATAGGTTCATTTTTATTGGTTATTTTCAATAAACTTTCTGTAAAACGTATCTTATTTGTAATTACTTGAAATTATCGTATTCATTTATCTGTTTGCTTTTTTTATGGTATTCTTCCCAGCTTCTTCAATTTCCACCTCTATCCCACCTTCAGGGGCTTCCCTGGCTTGATTCTATACTTTCAGAACTAGAACAGTGCCTGAGACAGAGTTGACCTTCAATAAATGATTTTTCCTCCTCATTTATCCAACAAATAATTTTTTTCTTTTCTTTAAGAAATGATAGTTATTTTTAAAAAGCATGTTATACCCATTTGAGTGTTTTGTTAAGAGTCATTGCTATTTGTTTTGACTTAGAATGAACATTATCTGGGCAATGTGCAACATTGTTCATTTTTAAAATATTTATCCACTCTGCACCAGGCCTTGACCTCAGGCGGAAAAAAGCTGTATCTGTGGAACATACACTCCAGTGGGAAGGGAGACAGGCAGTAAAAATCAACGCATATTCTGTCCAGCGAGGGTGAGTATTATGAAGAAACTGAAAGTAGAATAATGGGATTCTCAGTGAAGCTTCCTGAAGGATGTGACTTGAAGGATGCAGAGAGCCAGAGGAAAGGCAGCTGCAGTACTGAGTGCACAGGCCTGGCAGGGAGGCCGACCTGAGTGAGCCAGAGAAGTTAGAGGAGGCTGTAGGAGGGACAGTCGGGGCCAGGGGCAGGCCAGGGAGGGTGTGGAGGCCTTAGGCAGACTTTGGCTTTTACTCCATGTGAAATGGGGAGGCCCCTTGAGGGACCAGAGACCCCTTTGGAAAGACTTCTGGCTGCTGTGGCAAGGAGACTGGGACACATGGTTTGGGGGAGTCTCAGGACCAGATGGAAGGTCTCGAGTCATCTAGGACTAGGGGAAGTGATAACCTGGACTAGTGGAAATGGCGAGAACCTGAAATCAGGGTCCTAGTGGAAGTGATAAGATTCTGGATATGTTCTGAAGGCAGGGCCAATAGGATGTCCTGAGGGTTTGGGAGAGGGATGTCAGAGTTGGAGCCAGGGATGGCTCTGAGGCTTTGCAGAATAATACCCTGGCCGGTTAGTGAGATGGAGAAGCAAACTTGGAGGGGACAAAAGAGTGGCTCTTGGGCCAGATGTGATGGTGCATGTCTGTAATCCCAGTGACTTGGAAGTGTGAGGCAGGAGAATTACAAGTTCCAGGGCAGTGTGGATAACTTAGTGGAGATCCTGTCTCAAAATAAAGAATAAATAATATGGTCTGGGAATGTAGCTCAGTGGTAGAGTGCTCTGGGTTCAATCTTCAGTACCAAAATAACAGTAGTAGTAGTAGTAGTAGTAATAATAATAATAATAATAACAACAACAACAACAATAAAAAAATAATGAGTAGATGTTGGATTGTGTTTGAGAGGCTTTGTTGGGGAGGCCAAGTAGGAATTGCATATATAAGGATGAAAAGCAGCTTGAGACCTTCTCTGGCAGGATGATCTCTGCACCCTGTCTAGAAGGGCCAAGAACATGCATCCAGGTGAGGCCAGCATCAAGCTACACAAACACTGAACCTGAAGCCATCGCCAATCCCCAAGACCGAAGCAAGTCTCTGTTGTCACTGGGAAGCCTGCTGACAAGCTCTAAGATTCCATCTCTCTGAGTAATCTTCAGGGGCCTCGTTTAGTCTGTTGTCCTTCTGCGAGTGCGCTTTTCTGCTATATCTATATACCCTACGCTATTTATTGATTGGAGAACCATAAATTTGTTTTTAACAACATAAGAGGCCACAACAGGGAGGTTTAACTTCAGAGTTTAAATTTGGCCTTTTACTAGTAACTGGAAGGCCTGCAGCCAAGGAAATATAAAAGAGTTCTCTCCCGTCCTCCTAATGAAGAATCTTCTTGTGTCTGGGAGGACCTGATAGTAGATGGTAGATGAGCCAGGGCAGGGAGGTTTCAGGTCCCCTCTGAGCAGAGGTTAATGAACCGCCAGTTGGTGGCTCTGAAGATTGGTGACAGGCTTATCCTGGAGTGCTTGAAAAGCCTGCCACATCAGCTTGGGAACAGGATCTAGTCCTTCTAAACCTTGGGAATCTCTGCAGCCACGATTCCTTTATGACTATTAACTCTACTATCCCCAGTCCCCAGGGACCTAGTATAATCACCGATGAATGAATTCCTTTTCCCTTGAACCTAAATCTGAAACCTCTCGGGCCTTTCCCATAGCATAAATAGCATTCTATTCCTGTGCATATTGTCTCATTCACAGGAAATAGTGTCTGAATTACATCACAGACGAGTTCTACTGTATTCTGTTGACGTTTATTGTGGAACCATTGTGAGAATGACATGGTTCCTGTCCCCAGTAAGTTACTATATCCTATCCAATATGGTCAAGATTCTAAAGCTAGTGAAAGAGATGGGGACAGAGAGGTGAATGAAATTCCAGGATGTCTCAACATCCCGTAAAGGCCAATGCCATAGCAACGCTTTTCTCTAAGTGTTTCCCTGAGCTCATAGATATGAGTAGATGGCAAAGCAGGATACTTGTACTTACCAAGGCCATTTACTGAGAGGATGAGATGACAAACAAGCTTAGTTTTAGTAAAGTTGGTGTGTAGAAAGGGCAGGTCTATTCGATCAGTGTTACAGAAAACCGGTCCTCTCTGGGTGTCTGTCCTTTCCTTCTTTTGGTAGGAACAGAGAACTCCTAGTTTTAAGCTGAGCATGTAGCCACTTGGCCATAAGACTGAGTTCTGGCCAATGCAAATAGGTAAATTTACCTAGTGGTAGCTCCTAGAAACCCCACTTAAGAGGCATTAGATGTGAGAGGCCATCCTCGCACATGATTTGAGTTACCTTCCTGGGTGGGTGAGAGGCACTTAGACACATCCTTGTGTCCAGAGCTAGGAGAAGCCGTCCTGGAGCTGGTTTAAAGGTAATTAGAGTCTGTCTCTTTAATTCAAAACTCCCTAAGGATTTCTCACGTACTGAACCTTCATTTATGAAGCCTGTGCTGGCCGCGGGCTAAAATTAGGTGCATACACATACCTTTCTTTCTCAAGCCTTTCTCTGGCTTGCTGCCTGAAATGCAGTTGCCACCATCTTGGTCAAGACCATGCTTGATAGAACCATTGGAGCCAAGTAGCAGCTACCACACTCCGTTTCATATGAGAGAGAAACAAACTTTTATCTTACCTATTAGAGGGCTTTTAGTCTCCACAGCTGACCGTAACCCTGAGTCATACAGCTGTCTAAGTTTCCCTCCAGAGTGCCATTCTCAGCTGCTCTGAACAATGTGCCCATTCCTGATGACAAGTCATGGAAGCTTGAGTTAGTCTAAGATACTTCAGTTATTGTCCAGGTCATTCTCCGTGAAAGCCTAATGTAGTAAGGCTCCCTTATGGCCGGAATATCAAAAAGGGGAAATAATGGTTTTGTAGTGAACGTAGCTTGAGTTCGCATGTTCCCTTAGTCGCAAAGACTTGTCCCCCTACACACCACTGCCCTCTGCTTTTGTGTTTCTGTCACTTGGATTCTAGATGTAGATGAATGATGACCACAGAGTTTCTAAAGACTGAGAGGAGTGTCTACCATTCCTTGAGGCTGGTTTTTATTTTTAGAGAAGTGACATACATAAAAATGTTCAAGCAGTACAAAACCATGTGTAGTAAAATATGCACTGTGTGCCCAGTCCTACCACCCATAAGTCCCTATGTAAAAAGCTTTCAAGGTATTCCCTAGAGATTTTCCATGTGTGGAGAGCCCCTTTTCAAAAAAATAAGATAGAATAAAATTTTAAAAAATAAATATGTATTGCATTTATATAATATTTAGTACATATAATCTCATTTATAAAATATAAATAAGCATATACTACATACTGTAATATACTTTGCTTAAATGCAATTATAATTTTAAACATCTTTCCAAAATGGTATATATGCACTGATTTCTATCAGACTGCACAGTACTGCATTGTGCAGTAGATGTAGCATAGTTTATTTAACCAGTTTCCTGTTAATGGACATTTGTTTGCAGAGTTTTGCTATTATAAACACTGCTGCAACAGATTTTCTTTCCCATACATCTGTGTGCCAACACATTGGTAGGAGAAAGCCATAGAACTGGAGTTGCTAGGTGAAATAGTGTGTATAAGCAGCTCCTTCTGCATTTTCAGTTAGTGTCCAGTCTGCTTTTAAACTCAGGTTCCCATTGAGAGCACAGCTGGACTTTAGCTTTGCTTCCTATTCACTTGTTTCTTTTGTTATTTGGGTTTCTATTCAGAAAGAGCATGTTTTTTGACTTTTCAAAAGACAAATCAGAAGCAGGCGAGTGATCTGGTTTAGGATAATACTTTATTTGGGGCAAAAATTCCACCTTTTTGCTGAAAAGATGCTAGTAATTCTTTTGAATTAAGGTATGGGCGTAAGTTCTTGAGAAATGAGGGGCCTAACTAATATCTTTGGGGGAAGAAGTTTCAGGAATACCATCTGCCAGACTCCAGACTCTAGAAAGATTATTCCACCATAAAGACAAAAGCGTCTTTGAATATTTTTGGAAATAAGAAGATACCTATAGAAGCGCTGGGAGAAGGTTCAAATTTAGGGCTCATTCACTACCTGTGGTATCTAACCTCACAGCCCGACATTTACCACTCCTCCTGTCTCCTCAGAATCTTTGCAGAAACCACCTTAGTAGGAGCAGTAGCAATGGAAGGGTTTGTGCATTCTCCCCCAAGCCCAGCTTGCTGCTGGACAGATGCTTAAAATGAAACTTTGGAATCTGTACATCTTTGTGTCCTTTTTGCCTCTGCTCTTTTAATGTTCTCATCCTCCCTAGACTCCTTCTAAATTAGACAACTTCCTGATACCGAAGAAGGACCAAGCAAGTTGGAGCATTTCCTTCATACTGGCCAAAGGGCTGCATGGGAGCCTGAGTCCCATCCTCTTTTCAGGTGACAGGCCTTGCTGGGCTTTCTTGTAGAGGCTGTCTTGGAAGTAGGTAGCACCCTCTCCTGGGCTAAATCCAAATGTTTTCTATCTGTCCTGAAGTCATCCAGGATAATAACCAGCATTTCCCTTTCTCTGGCAAGCTTTGCCCCATCACTGCCCCCTCCTGGCCCCTTCTATTTTTTATTTGAATGCCACACTACTCCTTCAAATTCAAAGGAGTAGTTTTGGAGATCCTAAGTAAGATTCGTTAGGGAGCAGAAATTTATTTTGAGTATTTACTATGTGTAGACACAAGGACATGATTGTAACTATAAAAAAATTAAAATAGAAGCTTGTAGATAGGGAATATGAAGAGTGAATAACTAAATGTAGATGAAATACTATTTTAAAGTTATCAGGCAACATAGGTGCTAGAGGATTCTCTGCACACGGTGGAGACGCTAGAGCAGGGAGGTGATGCTTGTTGCCTAGCAGTCTCTTCAGGACTTTGGGAAAGGAGTTGCCCAAAGGCAAGGTAGGTCCTCTCCTCTGGGAACTCTCTGGAAAGAGATGCATCTGAAAGTTCTT